AATGCATATATATATATATATATATATATATGCTACTGAAAAACATAAATACCAAACCAAACAAACCTGAACCTACCTGATGTTCCACTCAATTCAAATCCCCGCTAACGGCAATGGAAGAATCAAGAATTCATGATAATGCACAGAAAATAGTGCCTAGAGCTCAATAAACATTACTTCTTTTCTTGCCAAGAGATACATTTGGTGAAGCTAAGCTGAAATTTCCATTCCATTTCTGGAAACATCTAGGGACATCACATCCTCCACACTTTCAAAGACAAAGAAGCAGGAGGACCAATTCGAAAACCCACCCTTCGCTATATAGAGGAGCTAAGGACTAGAGACAAAACTTTCCCATCAGATGCCTCAAATAGAACGGACAATGGAAGGAACCTGCAGCAAGTTTGCAAACATCAAACTGACCACCCTCTGAAGGAGCAGGTGACACAATTTCAAATTTCCCTCCACCAGTAATGGAAAAAAAGCAGAACAAGGCTTGCATCCCATCATCCACCCATCCATGGAAGCATTAAACAGGCTTCGGAATGAATGAGCATCTTTTCTTATGTAGCTGTTCCTGAGCTTTTCTTCCTTTACAGGATTAGATTTTGTTACCTTGTGGAAGGTTGTGCAGATGTAATGTCAGGCTTATATTGGGGTGTGCTGATGAACTGGTGCCTGTAGGTGCTACTGTCCGTCCTACTGAAGTTGCCTTGTTCAACAGGCTGTATTACTTTGCTAGGGCTCCCATAACAAAGTGCCATATACTAGGTGGCTCAAACACAGAAATTTATTTTCTCACAGTTCTGGCGGCTAGAAGTCCAAGATCAAGGTGCTGGCAGGGTTGATTTCTTCTGTGGCATCTCTCCTTGGCTTATGGATGGCAGTCTTCTCCCTCTGTCTTCCCATCGTCTTCTCTCTGTGTGCACCTGTGTCCTATTCTCTTCTTATAAGGAGTTATGTTGAATTAGGGCCCAGCCATATGACCTCATTTTACTTTAATTATCTCTTTAAAGCCCTGTCTCTAAATACAGTTACCTTCTGAGGTACTGAGGGTTAGGACTTCAATATATGAATTTGTGCAGCGGGGATCCAATTCAGCCCATAGCACAGGCCTCTCATCTTTTCTTACAATTGCTTCTGGAACCTCCTATCTGCTCACCCATTCTCCAGTTTCACTCTCCCTCAATTTTTCTTCCACATAGTAGCCAAAGTGTGCAAACAAAAAAGGAAATCTGATCCTGTCACTCTTGCTCCTTTAAGTCATCCAGTGGCTCCCTATTGTTTTCAGGATATAGTTTTAAATTTCCCAGCACTTAGCATAGTACCTGACACATAAGATGTACTCAATAAAGGTCCGATGAGTGAATGAGTGAACAAATGAATGGATGAATGAATGAATGAACAAATCATGCAAACTAAAAGAGGTTGCAATCTTCAAGGTTAACCAAAGAAGTAGGTTATTCGAAGTCATTTCTATTTGGCTTAAAGATGCATATTTGTGATTTTTTTCAGGAGATTCACTTTCCTATTTATGTTTGAAAAAGGTGATTTAAATGAATGAATGTTACCTGAGACATGACTGGCAATATTTGTACCTGAATTTCACCAGCTCCTCAACCACTTTGGCACATCCGTACCTCACTTACTGTCTGTGGATGAGGAATGGGGTCACGGTTACCACCAAGTTCATCTGTGGGGGCAGGGGTCTGCCATCTTCCATTGTCTTCATAATGAGGTAGAGCAAACACAATAGTGATTGTTCAGATGGCTTTTTGTCCCTGTTGGTTCCACGCTCTCAGTGCCATTTTCAGACCTCATCCTTGGGCAGTGGTGCTACGCTAATCCCCATGCTCCAATATGCCAAAGCCTTGAGCACACAGGATTAAGAACATAGAGAGGTGGATCAAAAAGCATTTTAAGGGGTGAGTTAATGTTGTTTTGATATTAACACTCTATCTTGAGTGCCCTACAGAATGGATAGTCAATATGTGGACAATCAAGAGTACCTAATCCTCAAACCTTTGTTCTCCTCCTTTATTAATATTCTATCAAGCCGGAAACTCAAATCAAGGGGAGAAAAGACAATTTTAAAAAACCAAGTTTGTTAATATGAAATGACAGCTGGAGTTTTAACAGTCAACCAATTGAACACTTTTGTTTTTTTATGGTAATTATTGCCAGTATAAATGGTCTTGTTAATTGCTTTTATTTGTTAGTGAGCAGTTTCCAAATTCACAAATTTTTTTTCATAATACTAACCAAGACCTTTGGGAAATTTTCAATAAAGTTTGGAAAGATATTGCAATAAAAGACTATATTACCTCTGCAGATTCATCTCATTTTCTATTTTGTGGGATATTCCTACAGCTGCTCAACTTCCATTTGAATATTTCATTTTTCTCTGTTTTTGTCTTTGTTTTGAGACCGGGTCTCACTCTGTGGCCCAGGCTAGAGTACAGTGGCATCATCATAGCTCATTGCAACCTCAAACTCCTAGGCTCAAGCTATATCCTGCTCAGCCTCCCAAGTAGCTGGAGGACTACAAGTATACACCACCATGTCTGGCTAATTTTTTTTTTTATTTTTGTAGATACGGAAGTCTCACTGTTACCCAGGCTGGTCTTGAACTCCTGGACTCAAGTGATCCTCTTGTGTTGGCCTCCCAAAGTCCTAGGATTACAACGTGAACCACTGCCCCCAGCCTGAATATTTCTTCAATGCTTTAAAGTCTACAGGAAATTGATTCAACTCAAACATGATATATTTTATAGAACACATGTATAATAAAGCTGGTTCTTATTGAAAACATAATTTTCTTCATTTTGTGTATGTCAAATTTTATTTTTAGAAGATTATTTATCATTTTCTCTTTTCAAATGCCTTACAATAATTTATATTCAATTTCATGGCGTCACTTGCTATCATTATCCTTGTTGCTAGTAAAAAAAAAAACCAAGAAACTTGGTTTTTACAAAGATCATATAGAAATCCAAATCTCTTGCTTATTAAAGAGTTGTTTATCCAAGAAGCAGTATCTCATGATCTTTAACAAGTTCCCATTTAACGTAGATGATCCATATTATAGTCTAATATTTTAAGTTGATAATTAAGTCAAGAATTTAGCCCCAAATTATGCTAAGCATGTACAGTAACAATTGTGTGCTGCTTTTTCTATCCCCTCATCATCTTAATCATCAAAATACACTTAACTTAAGCACCCACCTATGGACCTTCCGTAGCAGAAACCAAACCAAGTGAAAACTCTAGGCCCTTCTTTTGGGAGGCCTTCCAAGTTGCACACGAGCATCAGCATTCCATCCATGACCCCAACCACCACCTAATCCTATTTCTCAACTCTCACCCTTCACCTCCACCAAATACTGCCAGAAATAAACAAGTAGATACCTGTTCCATATGATTTTAAGTACTTGATACTTCCCTTACATTCATTCCAAAGACTATGCAGGATAGTTCCTTATTTCATAAATAAAACAAATATTAACATGCAATGACCCTGGGAGGAGATAGCTTTTAAGGTAGGATCTTTTAGTATTGGAGTAAGGAAAAAAGTGAGTGCCATTTAGTGGCATTTTAATAACCGAGTAATATTTTTCCAGAATGTAGCAGGGTAGACTGGAAAGATCAGTAGTTATAAAGGCAGAAGACTTGGATTCTACTTCCCCTTAACCTGTCTGTGCAACAATTTCTCATCTGCAAAATGATGGCATTGAATTAGCTAGTCTCTAAAGATTCTTTTATCTCTAGCGTTCTATATTTTATGCTTAGTACTAGATGTTCATTATAATAATGAAAAATTAGAAATCACTTCAATGTTTATAAAAATGGAATTGGTTAAACCGGTCATGGTGTTTAGACACACACATACACATATAAATTCTGTGTAGCCATTTAAGTGATGATGTGGTTTTATACTTATTAATTGGGAAAGATGTCATGACATACTGTTGAACTTTTTAAAAAAGTAGCCTCCAAATACTTTCCATTTTACTAATAAATAAAATATTTTATATCAGGAAGGATATTCCTAAATATCTAAATGATTTCTAAATGGTGGGATTTAGAGTGATTCTTCTTTCTGTATTTTTCTATGATGTTTGGGTGTTTTATAAGCATAGAATAGTTTCATAATAAATAACAAAGTTATTTGCCTGTAATCCCAGCACTCAAGGAGGCCGAAGTGGGAGGATCGCTTGAGGTCAGGAATTCAAGACCAGCCTCAGCAAGAGCAAGACCCTGCCTTTACTAAAAGCAGAAAGAGGCTGGGCGCGGTGGCTCATGCCTGTAATCCCAGCTCTCTGGGAGGCTGAGGCAGGTGGATTGTTTGAGCTCAGGAGTTCGAGACCAGCCTGAGCAAGAGCGAGACCCCGCCTCTACTAAAATTGGAAAGAAATTAATCGGCCAACTAAAAATATATAGGAAAAAATTAGCTGGGCATGGTGGTGCATGCCTGTAGTCCCAGCTACTCGGGAGGCTGGGGCAATAGGATCACTTGAGCCCAGGAGTTTCAGGTTGCTGTGAGCTAGGCTGATGCCACAGCACTCTAGGCTGGGCAACAGAGCAAGACTCTGTTTCGAAAAAAAATGTTATTTTCAATTTGGGGAAAAGTATAATAAACTGTAAATAGGAAATATTAGATCCTTTCCTGCAAATAAGCTTTGATAGAAAGGAGGGTAAGGACAAGAATAAAACAGCAGTGAGCTAAAGGAAAACAATGTCTAAATGTTTTCATCAATAACTCAGATAATGAAGTAAATTTGCCATGAAGGTAAAAAAAAAAAAATTATTTTTTTTTCTTTTTATACAGTATATATTTATTAGTTTGTACTAGTACATTCTCATATTACAAAGGCAATTTAGTGGAAGAATCTTCCTTTTGATATTATCTGAAATAACACAAACTATACATTCCAAAAAAAATCCTCATTTGTATAACAAAAAAAGACAAGTTAAACAACAAAAAACTTTTCCTTTCTTATAGGTGGACATTGAAGTGGACCTAATTCGGTTTTCATTTTAAAGTCTCCAAAAACAAAGGCGGTTTAAAACCTAATTAATTTGTTTACTAAACTACTGGTCTCCAGCACCATTTTCTGTTTTCTGTTGCTTTGATGCAGGTTCTTCTTTGTCTGTTTCTTCTCTTGCTCTTTTCACTGGTCCAGTTGCACCATTTTCATCACGTTCATCATCACTACCAAATTTAGTTTTCTTGCCCTGAAACTGCACTTTTCCTTTAGCAGACCCAAGCTGGGCAGCTTTATTACCCTTTCCTTTTGCTTTAAATCTGCGACCTTTTGACTTCCATTTGTTTAGAGATTCTCGTTGGTCTTCTATGATTTTTTTCAATGCTTCTTTTTCCACCTCTCCTTCTAGTACTTCCCAAGTCACTTCTTTGTTCCTTAATTGTAGGTTACCGTTATTTGCATCTTTGGCTTTATCCAATGCTTCCTTGGCTTTTTCCTTGAACAGAATTATCCCCTCTTTTGCGCCTCTGACAAAGTCTATGCATTTTATTTCACCATGACTTGAGAAAAGGACGTGCAAATCTTCTCTACAAGTCTGATCATCTAAGTCACCCGAAAATTTCAGCAAGCATCCAATCTTTTCTTCTAGAGATTTCATTTCAGCATCTTCTTCTAACTTTTGTTTTTCTTCTTGCTCTTGTTTAGCTCTTAATTTAGCTTACACTTTATTTTGTTTTCTTTCTTCATTTTTTTTTGCAAAGTAATCTTCTTCGAAAAGTATTAGCAGGTCCATGTCTTTGTATTTCTGGCCAGGGGTCTCTACAAACTTCTTAGCAGATTCGATGCTATCAAACACAGCAAATATTGATCCCTTAAATGCTTTGTGCAAGGTTCTTCTCATCTGAATATTTAGTACTTGGCCTTTATCTTCTAACCATTCTTTTATGTCATCAAGGGTTGCATCAGTTGGGAAGCCTTTAATATAAACAGATCTGTCTTTTACATTATTTTTATACTCATCAGTCACTTCAGGGAGGGGTTTACTTGGAGACCTTCTGATTTTAGTTTTATCTTCACTGATTTCCATGAGTTCTGCCTTGGATTTGCTCAATGCTTCCACGCTTACACTAAAGTCTGTTGTGAGACGGTTTAACCTGTTGAATTTTATCATGATCTCCAAAGGTATCCAGCCTTCATCCAATTTGATCTGTTCCTTTAAAAATTTGTCCTGTGGCAAATTGAAGTCTCCAAAATAGTACTCAATTTGATGACAGATCCTGGCCTCCGGAGCAGCCATTTTTTCATTATCACCATTTTCAGCCATTGTGGCTATCTTTAAGGTCCTGGTCCCACAGAGCCACACCACAGGCTCACTACAAGCAACGCCTGGACTTCCAAGTGCCCCTGGCTGGCCTAAAGCACTCCAAAAATTATTCTTTTAATACAAACCCAGCACGGCTGACCTGCTTTTCTGTCTGGGATACCCTGGCCAGTGTGAGAGATAGATTTGCCTGGCCCCTGCGCACTCCCTCACCAGTCCACCCCACGCACATGGCAAGGTCTGTCAAGCCATCAGACTGGCCACTGGATGCAATCTGAGGCTGTGGAAAGGAATAGTCCTGTCTCAGTTCATTGCTATAACAGAATACCACAGACTGGGTAATGTATAATTAACAGAAATTTGATTGGAAAGTCCAAGATCATGGCACTGGCCTCTGGCAAAGCCCTTCATGCTAAGTCATCCCATGACTGAAGACAGAAGGGCAAGAGAGCGCCAAACGCACTTTTATGACAAACCCACTCTTGTGATAATGAACACACTCCTGAGATAATGACATTAATTCAGTTGTGAGGGCATAGCCCTCAGGACCTAATCACTTCTTCGAGATCCCATCTCTCAACACTATTACATTGGGGACTAAGTTTCCAACACATGAACTTTGGGGGACACATTCAAATTACAGCAAATCCTAACCATTTTATGACAGGATTGAGCTTATAACTTTGTCTTCTTGACTACCATTCTTTGTTTCCTAAGGTTGCCTAGTCAATCTTGATAATTACACTTATCAAATAAACATGAAAAAATGCAGAACTAGTTAATTAGAAGACAGATTCAATCAAGTAGGAATTCATTCATTAGTCAACAAAAGGAATACGTTTTGTGTGTGTTTTTTAAGAGACAGGGTCTTGTTATGTTGCCCAGGCTGGCCTCAAACTTCTGGGCTCAAGTAATCATCCCACCTCAGCCTCCCAAGTAGCTGGGACTAACAGGCTCATGTCATTGCACCTGGATAAGA